CTCTAGGCTTACAATTGAACCGACATGTAAGGACAATAAATCACATAATTCTAATGCGCCTCAAACAATTAAACCATAATTTACATTACTTGGAACCACCATACCTTATAGTTCATTTAACAGGCAGAGCATCAATTAATGAAAATCCATATGCAATACCACAAATATAAAGTGTTTTAGATGTTTTTTAACAGGTGCATAAATCCAATGAGTGTTCCTCAAAACCACAACTACAGTTGGTAGAGGCAGAAGTGGAAGAGGAATTGGCGGAACTCGAAGCAGAACAAGAGATTTCATATGAATTGAAGATGTGGTAGGGGTTGTGGGCGAACTTCTTGACTCCATGCATGCCAAACCCATCAACTGGTTGGTGTCCTTTTAGTATTGTTTATGCTAAAATACAAACACCATTGTTGATATTGTAGTTATTACAAAATGTAAGAACGAATCAGCTTCAACCTTAGCCGAACACTTTATTGACATGTTGTTGTCCAAGGTGCGAATGAAGCTCCAAGAATCTAATAATAAATACAAACTGCAAGCGGACGCCCATTGAAGGGAGAAAATTTTTATTCCAGGCGATCTAGTTTTGGTTCGTGTGAGAAAAGAATGTCTACCTCCAAAACTTATTGACCTACCATCTGACTTTAACACTCAATCGGCGCAAATTCGAGCCATTTCCAGTTGCCCATCAAATCAATAACAATGCTTATGTTATTGACTTACCAGTTGACTTTAATACTTTATATACTTTTAATGTTACAGATGTTTATCCATATTTTCCGCCAGACAACAGTTCCACTAGTGTTGAATCAGGAGACAATAGCTTTAAGCTGAAAATTGTAGCCGAAGAACATAGTTCAAATTACTAGCAGTTGTAGTTACTGTTTCCATTGCTAGCTGTTTTCTTGAGCTCATCTCCGAAGGATCTCTATATCAGCACCATAATAAACTATTCATCATCATAAAAATATTTGAAAAATTGAAGCCGAACATCAATGGCAGTTCAGGTGGATAAAATAGCTAGAAGGTTGAGAGTGAATTAGCTTACTATGAACGTTCAAACTCCTTCAGTACTGCAACAAAGTTTCCTTTGCCATTTCGGAATTTGCGGCAGAAATGTACAGTTTCTGCTCTAAGAAATGATGGGAAGCAATTAGATTTGCTACATTCGGCCCTTATAATTGATCCCATACCAAACACCCGGCGATGCTTTAGCTGAAAAGCATTTGGAATCTTTATATAATTATATATTAAATAATTATATAGTTGACTTTAAAATAGATATTGATATGCCATACAAAAATCAGCTTGATCAAGCACAAATCTCGTTGGATGCATAATTATAAACTTTTAAAATTAAATTCAAGACGATCTAGACTTTATTTTCATCAAACTTACAGTCGAACTGATTGGCTCTGTGAGATGATCATTTCAAGTTTAACGTCTTAACGTGATGAATCCAACAATGCTTTTAATTATGATAACAATAAGGCACTCAAGTACTGAATAAATACTTTATAATTAAGATAATCACTATAAATTGTCTGATGGATTGTTTCAAATTTATAAAAGTACTCACACTTGTTAGTAATTAATTAAATGATCATAAATGAGCTGTAACCAAACTGAGCTATGGTTAATTTATCGATCATTTCGCTTCGTTTGCAACCCAATCAACTATTTATAGTGAAAATCTATATTTACATTGTTTAATATTACATATTAAGTGATAATGAAAGGAATAAAGAAAAAAAAAACTATGTTGTAACTAAAGAGAGATTGGGATTTAGAAGTCAAAGCTCTTATATATATATATATTTTTTAAAATTCAACTCGTCAAGAAATCAGTGAGCATGACGAAACCCCTCCTGATCTATAGGGACTGTGCATGTGATCTCACGTCTTTGCTTAATCAAGATAGAGATTGGATTGGCTTCTTTTCTTCTTCTTTGCGATATGACAGCTCTCAAAGGCATTTATTTATTTATTTATTATTATTTTTGGAGAAGCTAAGTATATATATATGATACAGACTTACAGTAATTGAGAATTTAAGGGCGTTTTTGTGAAGGTTTCAGCTTTTTATAAAGTTGATTAGAAAGCTGCTGTGGAAAAAAATAATTTCTCTATAAACTATAGTTGTAAAAGACAGCTTTCATTCAGAAAATTTTAAAAGCAATGAAAAATCAGCAATAAAGCAGTAGCCAAACGAGTGGTTGCTCTACTGGATCCTAAGAAAATTAAAATATGGTTATGTGTTTGTTATTGTCCTTTTAAGCTCTTAAAGCGAGTATTCTTATTCTCTCATTTTTTAGATTTTTAAAAATCATTATTTATTTATTTTTTGGATATAAAATAAGAGCTTGAGGATTAAATATCTTCAGTTTAAATATGTTTCAGATTTTTTTTTTTTTTTTATATTTACGTCAAAAATTTTGATTGTGCAGAGTGTTTCATTTTCTATTTTTCATTTTATTATTTATCTTTTGAGTAATGAATTTTTTAATTGTGATATAACAATTAAATCAATTTATAACAATATGCAAATTAAGGACATATACTACTTTTTTATAAAAATTATTTTTGACGCAACAACTTTTATGTGGGGAGAAAATCTCACAAATTTTTTAAAATATTATATTTCCACATATCAGCTTCATAATCATCTTTATAAAAATTTACAGCTCACCCCTCCGAAATACCTCTTAGATTTATTATAAAAAATATTTAATGGTAGAGTATATTAATCTATATCTACTAAGAAAAATTGTAAGAATATATTCTAATCAAAATTTTAATCAGAAAGGGCCTTAAAGCAGTTCATTATATCTTAAAATTAATATATTACATAAATCTCCAAAAATATCTTACAATTATATATAAAAATTATTAATATCATTTAAAGCTTAGGCATTAGGTCAAAATCAAAATCAAGCACAAGAAAAAAAGAATTTTCATATGTACCAACATGTATTATTATTTATCTGGCTTACCTTTTATTCATATTTTCTATTATAATTATTTTGTCAATTTTACTTTTAAAATTAAAATAAAAAAAACATAAGAAAATAATATTGACTTATACTACTTTTCATACTAATAATACTAATTCATATTGAGAAATACTTTTTAATTAGTAAAATTTTCTTATCTAACTAATAAAATAATATATGGCACCAACTTAGGTTAGCGACTTAGTAACCTTTCAATAAAATATATTATTCTATTTAAAAAATAAATTATTGCTTTAAAGTCTTACTAAGAGATTTGAAGGAGGAATGTGGCCACGATTTAAATAAAAAAGGGATAAAAAAGATGATCTCAAATTTAAGTATTTACTAAATTAACATTATAGAAGAAAAAAATTAACTATCAACTTACACGTGTCATGATTTATTCATTAAAACAAATTAATTTAATTTAATATGAATTAGAAATTGTGTGTCTCTCTCTACAACATTTATACTTGTTTATTATGATATTATAAATGGTGGTAGCAAAAGTATTAGTATTATATCTAACCACATTTTTAGTTGCTACACATGAAATTATAAGGTTTAGCCCTTAGGATATATGATTGCATTTTTCTTCGTGCAAATAGATACGGGTTAATTGGTCTGGTTCAGGTCATACTCAACATTGACCTAATTTGAATCCAATCAATTTGAACATAACCTGTTTAATAAACATGTTAAAATGGACCGAACCTAACCCAATAACCTATTTTGATTAAAAAAAATCGTAATATCTCAACTAAAGAGTTTAGATTATTTTATCAAAATAAGAAAGCATACAAATAAGTAAAAAAATATAATTAAACATGTCAAAATTAGTTTCACGGGTCAATCCAAACACGACCCACCAATTAAAATGGTTAGAATTTTGAAAATGAACCTGATTCTCTTATTAAACTGGCCATCCATAGCTTAGATTTTTTAGTTTGAAGTATTGGAACAAATCATTTATTGACATCCCTACCCTACATATACATTATAATGACATCTTTGATAGTACCATTATATACTGAATTAGGGTCTATTTTGAATGATGGAGAATTTACGTATATATCATAAATTTTTTGAGAATTCATATATATAACATCTAAATCTTTATTATAATTATATATATAACACCCAAATCTCTTATGTAAAAAATATCACTTATATTCACTTATTTAAAATAGAGCACAGCTATCATACATACTATATCATCAATCTCCATTAAATTGACATCATAGATTACATCAAGATTCGTGCAAGATCCCTATCAAAATCCCTCATCTAGAACGCCACAAATACAATGGTGAAGGAGCAACTAACTTGCCCCGCAGAAGCAAGCAACAGAGTTCATAAAATACTTCGGTTTCTTTAATTATGAAGATTCTCTGCGTTGCTTAATTATTTATTTTTATCTCCTTAACTTATCTAAGAAGATTAAGAAGGAGAATAATAGAAGCAATAACACCACAAAACGGCAAAGTTTGGGCATTTACTTAACAGCGACTCATTGTGTCATTTACTTAACTTTGCAAGCAAAATATTGACCAAAATTAATTACAGAGAGCCAAACTCTCACATAAATGAAAATTTAATATGTGCGGACGTCGAACGCAGCTCTATATCCGGAGACCAATCTGAATAAGCCGCATCAACAATTCTAACGCGGTATTGAGCAATACCGAGTCACGATACTGACGTTGCTCATTCTAATTAGTCTCTAGACGATATTTTGCATCTGCACAGCATAATTTTCCCACATAAAGAGCAATATCTATTTCCACGTTATAATAATCTGATTTTGACAGCAACAAATATTATTATTATTATTATTGATCCCCTTCAAAATTTCTATTATTTTTTCCATTAGATATTGATTATCAACATAATAAATTATATATAAATATATGCAATTAATCGACTTTCAAATCAACCATCGTCCATTTCAGCACTTCAACTACAAATTTGATCCCCACAAGCAACTCCCACTCAGCCCCCATTCTTCCTCTCATTGTTCCTATAAATCCCAACCTCCATTCTTCCCTTCGTCTTCACAATCCCCTTTCATCAGGAAGAAGAAGAAGAAGTAAACAGAGAAAATGAAGCTCCTTTATCTACTCTCAGCCTTATTATTCCTCGCTGCTACAGCTTCCGCCATTGACATAGTCGAGAAGGATTTGGAGACAGACGACAGCCTTTGGAGTCTCTACGAGCGTTGGAGAAGTCATCACACAGTCTCAAGAGATCTTGATGAGAAGAAGAAGCGCTTCAATGTGTTCAAGGAGAATGCTCGCTATATCCATGAATTCAACAAGCGCAAGGACGCCACTTACAAGCTCAGCCTCAACAAGTTCGCAGATTTAACCAACCAGGAATTCCGCTCCACCTACGCGAGCTCCCGCATAAACCACCACCGCGCACTCCGCGGCTCTCGACGCGGCGGCGACTTATTTATGTACGAGAGCCTGGATATTCACAGTCTCCCTGCCTCCGTCGACTGGCGGCAGAAGGGCGCCGTCGCGCCTGTTAAGGACCAAGGGCAATGCGGTAACTAAAAAAATCCTTATTTTTCTGTTCTTAGTTAGAATTCGGAGATTAGATAGAGATCGAGTGACACGGTTGTGATATTCTGTATGCAGGGAGTTGCTGGGCGTTCTCGACGGTGGCGGCGGTGGAGGGTATAAATCAAATAAAGACGAAGAAGTTGATTCCATTGTCGGAGCAAGAGCTGATTGACTGTGACACTGAACAGAACAGCGGATGCAATGGAGGGCTAATGGATTACGCCTTCGAGTATATTCAAAAGAATGGAGGAATTACTTCGGAAGCCGCATATCCTTATGCGGCTGAAGACGGCAGCTGCGCCGTAGAGGTATGTACACAGTGAGATAAACTAACAAGTTATTTATTTAATAATTTAAAATTTTTGAGTGTTTTTCTTAAATCTATTTAATAACAACACCATCATCAAGTCTTTATGCTATTATGTGAGGTCGGCTACATAAATTTTTTTTCTTGGTGGTATCCAATTAAGAAAATAATTTAAAAAATTATTATAATTATTTCATAAATTTTATATTAGCTGTCAACTATCTAAAACAAAAAAAAATTCATTTTTCTAATCTAGAACTTGAAAAACGGTATTTTTTTTCTTTCTTAAATCATTTGATTTTTATGAATGATAAACTTAATAAAAGTTAAATCAATCCAAAAGTTTTGATGGGAGTGGCCCACCAGCCTTCTAACAATAGAACGTAATTCCATCCCTCATTTATGGAGATATTATTACATGCGGAGTTCGTATAGAAACTACATCTGATTTTTGCGAGTGAGCACATCATAAGTACAGTACAAGCGCAGTGGTGAACAATAATTATGTTTTTTTGCGTATACTCATAAAAATTGAATGGCTCTTCTGTCCAGACTTCACACATAATAATCTCTCTCATTTATAGACTACTTTGACCTAAAATCAATTTGAAAAAAAATTCCAACCTAACACCCAAGTTCAACTAAAGCTTATTTTAAGACAAACTTTTTTATTATTTTACTATTATAGTTTATGTTTGATCATTATTTTTTTTAATGTTTACAAAAAAAAAAAAAAACTAAAAAGTTATTTTTCACAACAACTTCAAAAATATATGTATTTTACAAAAGCTGCATCTCTTCCAAACGGGTGAAATTATTCTGTGTGGATTTGGACGCCATCCGGAGGTGAATTAGAATACGTCAAGTCAACTGTTTGTTGTATACAGGGTAATGTTGCGCGCTCTGATTGACCTCCAAACGATCCGATATCCACACAGAATAATTTCTCCTCAAACAAAACCTAAGACATGATATAACTATTTTGTTGGTTTTTGCAGAAGAGCGCTCATGTGGTTTCCATCGATGGGCATCAAGATGTTCCTGCAAATGACGAGAACTCTCTGCTGAAAGCAGTGGCGAATCAGCCCGTCTCAATCGCCATTGAAGCAAGTGGCTTCGGCTTCCAATTCTACTCCGAGGTTTGTACGAATCACCTGACCTAAAACTTCTAATTAAGCAAACAAAAAGAAGAAGAAGGAAGATCGATAGATATAATCCCTTACATTAATCGCCATTGCAGGGAGTTTTCACCGGCAGGTGCGGCACAGATTTGGATCATGGAGTCGCCATCGTCGGGTACGGGAAAACACAGCAAGGAACCAAGTACTGGATTGTGAGGAACTCATGGGGAGCGGATTGGGGAGAAGGAGGCTACATAAGGATGCATCGCGGCATCTCAGATCGGAAGGGTTTGTGCGGCCTTGCAATTGAGCCTTCTTATCCGATCAAAACTTCGCCGAATCCTACCGACAAGCGCAGGGATGAACTCTAAATATTTCAAAACAATTATGTAATAAAGCTATAAGTAATTGCTTATGTAAATTGTGATGATTTTATCTTTGTTGTCTTATGCATTTTAATTTTCTTGATGTATATCAAATGTTTTAATTAGCAATCTACTTTGTATCCAAATGAACCTATAATCTTATGATTATTACTTTTTAAGGTTTTTGTTTGGGATAATTTTATTATTTTTTTATAAAGTTACTGTAGAGAAATTAATTTTTTAAAATTATTGAAAATAATTTTCCAGTATAAAAATTACTAAAAGCAATAAAAAAGTAATGACCAATTAGAAATTTATGTTATATCGTAAAAAGAATAGTGCGAAAGTTGTCCCAAATGAAATCTAAAATTCATGAAATAAAAAACTTTCATATGTAAGATTAATATTAAAATAAATCTAATAATTTTAAAATTCAATTTGATATGATTTATACGAGAATATTCATATATAATTTTTTTAATGAATTTTCTATCAACTTCAATATTTGATCAATAAGGAATCATCACAATTATCATTCAATATCAATCATATCAATTTCTCTGAACTACTTTCACCACCATCATAAGAGATATTTTTTTGACTAATCATTTAATAAGGAATCATCATGATGCGAATCTTTCATGTGGTGACCAACTTAATTAACAGGTCTAGTTCGAGTTTATTTTTTTTGACCTATTAAATATTCTACCTGATTTGATCCGCTTGCCAACTCAAAATCAACTCATTTGACCTACCAATTCAAAATCTAATTAAACAATTCAGCTCATATACAGTACCAAGTTCTTTGCTGTCCAAGATTGATTCAAGTCCTTTGTAGTTCAATTCAGATTCGAGTTCCAAAGTAGGTTCAATCTTGAATTCCAAGGTCTAGCCCAAGTTCTACTTCAAGCTCAAGATGAGCTTCTTCCATTCGTTCGAGTCCACTATTGTTCGAATTATGTTCACTTGTTAAATGTTCAAGTTCAAGTTCAAGTAGTTTGAGTCCTTGTTGAAGTTCATATTCATTTAAATTTTAGTTCATTTAAGTCGATTGCATCAAGTTTACAAGTCTCATTTTTTTGTTCAAGTTCTCAGCATCTACAAATGAAATTACACCACCATCACCATCGCTGACATGCAAAGGTATAATTTTCAACTTAAATCCCATTCTTGACGCTAGCGACAAACCGGCAAATCCCCTACGCGCTCACGTAGCGTAGTAGGGAGGGAAATCGGTATGACACTAATGACGAGGAGGGTAAGCCTCGGAGTGCTCAAGTAGCATAACGTGGATAACAATTAAGTACCTTCAAACGCTCATGTAGTGCAGAAGGGGGAAAGAAAACTGTCGTCTTTAAAATAGGTATCTGAAGACTCTTAAACGCTCATGTAGTGGGCGGGGATTAAAAAAAAAAAATACAACCGCGGTGTCATTTGACACTTACCTGAAGCGCTCAATTAGTGACAAGGGGAAGGTTGCTTCTTAGTTTTTCCCCTAAACGACGAAGATGGCGGGAGGCTGTCAAAATTTCATTTGAAGAGCAAACAACAAGGAATAAAACTCAAATGCAATCCATAAGTGAATATTAATTTAACAAATGCAACATCACAACAAAAATATAAACATTAAGTGATGAATCCAAGTCATCCAAGTAACAATCAACAAAACATAGAACTTGTGGTAGGAGGTATTCAGGTATAAGTGACATACAAGCGAATTTGTAAGTTCCTTACACATACTGAAAACCAATGAGAATGAGCGGACATAAAACTCATGAACAAGAGGATTTGCAGCATGACAATATGTTTCATTGCCACCACAAAGAACTTTTAACGACACATGAATAACATGACGATTTCTAGTGCCCACATCAGTAGGTCCAAAAGTTTATGTAAAGGAGCTTAATGGTGTTAATGAAACAAGCTCCTAATGAATAGAGCCATTGTTAGAGATGATGAAGAACTTGCAATATAGTAAAATATTCACAAGCATAAACTCTACTTAAAATTGAAAAATCACATATAAATTGATAATAATCATACAAATATAAATATATGAATATAAATATACACAATATAAATACTATTTTGCTTGTTCCATGTTAGAAAATTTAAGTCGGTAGAGTTGACATTTTAGATCATAGCTTTGGACAAAAATTTAACACACACAGATAAAAAGTTATAAAAAAATCAAAAAATTTGTGTAGAAAATCTAGAAAGAAAAAAAAAAATCATGGAGTCGGGCTAAGTTGAAAAACCCACTATATAGTAGGTACTATATAGTAGGTAATACATGAATCATCAATTCCTCGCACTTAATTATGAGATTATTTAAAAAAAAGGTAAGATTATTTGAAAACAATATCTAATTTTTTATATGGGGCTTTAAAAATAAAGTGTTAACAGATAAATAGTTAACGTCCAATAATAGGGCTTGATTTCACTCTTATATGTATTATAGAAGTCTAATATCTATAGGAAGTAGTTAATACTCAATAACATGGTTGATCTTGAGAGGAGTCTAGAGATGATAGTGATTGATGGTGGTAGTTGTCGGTGGCAATAGCTCGTGGTGGACGGCAACAATAATAGCTGGTGATTGCAAGTGAGATATCTAGTTCTCTCCACTCCCCGTTCCTCCCCCGTTAGGTAGAGAATTGATGCTTTATTTATAATTTTTTTTGGGATGAGCATTTTTATAATTTAAACTAGAGTTCAAAACACTCTATCATACATTACATATCAATTCTCTTGATCATGATGCATTCATTCAGCATTTAAGTATCTTAATGATGTCAAAACAGAGTAATATTGGGCTTGTTGGATTCATCTCGTCGAGCCGCAATATTCAAGTATAAGCATCTCCAATTTTGGAGATCATTTGATCATCCAATTAATGATTGAAAATTTAAATTGTGCTTCAAATGTTTGATTTGATCTCATTTAGACTCGAATTTGGCCACTTTTGATATCTTTGCATTCGTCTTGTCAAAATATTCAATTCGATTATAAATTTTTCGAAATTAGTGTTCAGATGAACATCATTTAATCCAAAATTTTTGAAATTAAATTTTTGCGTTGAAATTCATCCTAATCATGCCAATTTTTTATAGATATATCCATGTGAAACACAAATTTATATTTATTGAAAGCATAAATATAATAAAGTTATTATCAACTTTAACACGATCAAACAAATTCTATTAATGTCCGACTAATTAAATTTAGAATATTATAAAATTAGTCATATTTTTACTAATTAGCAACTTGAAAACGATGGAACACTAACACCAAACTATATTTTAATAGCCTTAATCCTACCAATCCCTTAATTCCACAACTTCCTATATTCATGTATGCCTTCTGCTTTAATGCTAACCTACTTATTTGAAAACCACCGCCCATTAATGCTTACGTGCTTAAGTCCTTAAATGATGACTTTTAGGGCTTAATCAAGTGCTTAATTAAAATTGTTAATCCTTCATCAATCAATCAATAAATAAATATTTAAAATGATCCTCTAAATCTCATGTGAGGGCAGATAAATTGTACTTGAAGCAAGGGGTGTTAAAATGGATTTTCAGAGGGTTCGGGTTCAAACTGAAATGGATCCGCCATCGATTAGACTAATTCAAACCCGACCCGAATATACAAATGAGTATGAAATCTAAATCCAGACCATATTCGAAGAAAATCCGAGTTAACCCAACTCAAAGTTGGCCCATGCGAGCACAAGAAAACATCTGTTGAGCGTGGGGTGCGAGCGTAAAGGGAGCACATGACTGCTGGTGGGATCCGTTTGCAGGTCGCGTCAATTCCGAGTCAGCGGGTCGACCCGAATCCAATCCAAATTTTTAAACGGGCCGAGTAACCCGAGCCGAGTAACCCGAGCCTGACCCATGTATTAAATGGGTCGTTCATAAATCAAATTTTTTGGAACAAGTTTGGTGATAAGATTTTCAGATGAGGTTAAATATTGACACCCATATTTGAAGCGTGTCTTCTACTTAGGAAGAGGCCGGTGCTTTGAATGCTAAATAACTTGGAGAACAGTAACACTAACAGGTTTAGAAGTCTCGTGGGAACAAAAGTAGGCCGGACTTCTGATGCTTCAAGTAGTCTTTCTATTGCCTGGATGACATGCCTGTTTGCCACGTGGATTGTGATTTATGTGCAACGCGGACACTTAATTAAGATAGTTTTTTAATCATGATTTTATTTTTTTTTTGGGGAAAAATCATGATTTTATGCATGGGAAAGAAATTTGTTTTTATTCTTTAAACTTTTACTTTACTTTTATTTAATATTTATTTTCAATCAAATTTAATCTGATTTTTTTTTTTAATTTAATCTGATTAATTTATTATTGGTATTTTTATTTTTATTTAATCTGATTAATTATCTCTGACTACTTACTGGGAAGTTTTAGGTTTTGTTATTTTGAATAATTTTTAGATTGCTTTCCGTGTTAAGAAAAATAATTTGTATGTGAAGGTAAGCTTTTTTTTTTTGAATTTTTATCTTTATAAAATTTTTTGTAGAAAGTATTTTTAAAACTGTGACTAAAAAAGAAACTTTAAGAGCCAATAACAAGAAAGCTTATACTACACCAAAACAACTTAGGCTTCGTTTGGGATGATTTTCTTATTGCTTCTTAAAACAATTTTTTAATTATAAAGTTAAAATTTTTGTACTAAGAAGCTGCTTTAAGAAGCAGTTAAAATTTTTTAATTATAACGGCTTTTTTATTGCTTTTTAAAATGAAGTTTTAGTACAAAAATAAAAAATTTTGTACTAAAACTCCGTTTTATAAAGCAGTAAAAAAGCCGTTCCAAACGAAGCCTTAATCTCCCTAAATAAAATAAAGCTTTATTTGAAAAAAAAAAATTCAATGTTTTGCTTTTTTTATCCCAATCATAATTTATATTAATTTAGTCCACCTTTTTTTGTTGCATTAAAAAATATTTGCACAAAAAATTTTTTTCTATAACAACTTTAAAAATTATTTTCTCAGCATTACGTCAGATTCACAAAGCATTATGAAAATAGCCTCAAATAAAGCCTAAATAAAGCTACATAAATAAATCATATTTATCTTAAATTATAAAATAAATTAAATAATCTAATAAATAAATCATATTTATCTTTTTTATATCACTGGCTATTAATTGATAATTAGGCGGTTAGGCCTTTATTAGATTGAAATGAAATGAAAAGAAGGCAATGCAAGAGGCGTTAAATTTGGTGGAATCTTCTTTTTTTGATTGAGTAACAAATTAGTGAAGAGCAAGTCAGGCAAAGTAGATAGCTTAAGGAAACTCCATAACAAACGTCCCAATAAGAGAAATTCCTTCATCAATCCAACCATATTTTTTTTCATTACATGCCCATCAAATAAACAGATAAACAGATAGCATTTCCTTCCCATTTCTTCCACATTTACATTTATAATAATCTATCCAATCCACCACCATTCAATTTCAGCCCTTCCAACGCATAAATTGATCCCCGCAAGCAACTCCCACCCCACCTCCATTCCTCCTCTCCTTCCTCCTATAAATCCCAACCACCATTCTCTCCTTCCTCTTCACTAACCACAAGAAGAAGAAAAAATGAAGCTTTTTCATCTACTCTTAGCTTTCTTATTCCTCGCTGCTGCAGCTTCCGCCATTGACATAATCGAGAAGGATTTGGAGACGGAGGATAGCCTTTGGAGTCTCTACGAGCGTTGGAGGAGCCATCACACGGTCTCGAGGGATCTCGATGAGAAGAAGAAGCGCTTCAATGTGTTTAAGGAGAATGCTCGCTATATCCATGAGTTCAACAAGCGCAAGGACGCACCTTACAAGCTTCACCTGAACAAGTTCGCCGATTTAACCAACCAGGAATTCCGCTCCGCCTACGCCGGCTCCCGCATAAACCACCACCGCGCACTGCGCAGCCCTCGACGTGGCGTAGCCAATTCATTCACGTATAAGAGCCTCGACGTCAATAGCCTTCCTGCCTCCGTCGATTGGCGCCAGAAGGGCGCCGTCACAGCCGTGAAGGACCAAGGGCAGTGCGGTAATTTGTTAACTTAATGTTTTCCTTATTATTATTTTGTTTAGCTAGCTGCTTCTTGTGGGATTTAAGTAGAGGTTTAAGCGAGTCAAACCAACTCGTAAGTCGGTTCGATCTTGAATTCATAAATATCTCATGAGTTGAGCCCGATGAGTTAACGAGTCAAGTTTGAGCCAGCCCTGCCTAAACGTATTAGCTCGCGTGCCAGCTATTTAAAAAAGTATATTAATATAAAATATACTTAAATATATTAATATCCAAAATTTTAATTACAAAATTGTTAAAAATCTTATAAATTATATGTTATTTTCTTATATCAAATGATTATTTATTATTTTTCATCAACTATTTCATTCTTTTATCAATTAATTATAAGTATTTTCTCTCATTTATAATAAACGAGTCACCTTTGGAGCCAACTCTAAGGTTTTGTTTGGAGTAGCTTTTTTACGGCTTTTTAAAATAATTTTTTAGTATAAAAAATTTAATTTTTTATTAAAAAAATTGCTTATATGCAGGGAGTTGCTGGGCATTCTCAACGGTGGCTGCAGTGGAGGGGATAAATCAAATAAAGACGAAGAAGCTGGTTTCTTTGTCTGAGCAGGAGCTAATCGACTGTGACACTAAAGAAAACAACGGATGCAATGGAGGGCTGATGGATTACGCCTTTGAATTCATTAAAAATAAGGGCGGAATTACTTCAGAAGCAGCATATCCATACGCAGAAGCAGACGGCAGCTGCGCCGCTGAGGTAGATATATATATCAACAGAGAGTGCTTAAACTTAAAGAGGAAATCAAAATAAACTGATCAACTGTGATAATTTCGCGCTGGTTTGGCAGAAAAGCAATCCTGTGGTTTCCATCGACGGGCATGAAGATGTTCCTGCTAATGACGAGGACTCTTTGCTGAAAGCAGTGGCGAATCAGCCCGTCTCAATTGCCATTGAAGCCAGCGGCTCTGATTTCCAGTTCTACTCCGAGGTTTCTATGAATCATCATCTGACACGCACAATATCATAATACTCACTACAGGAAAATGGTACATTACCGACGGAATTTCCGGCGGACTATTTTCCGGCGGATAAAGATGAAATATTTCCGCGGGCGGGATAGGGTGCACCTGCGGGCGGGCGTGGTGCTCCAGCGGGCTGGGGCGGGAATTAAATTTTTAAAAATCATTTTTTACTTTTTCCGACAGAGTTTTTCTGCCGAACAGTCGCTTGTCCGGCGGTTTTTTTTTTCGTTGGAAAAGTTTTCTGATGCTCGATTTTCCATCAAATTTATTTTCGCTTGAAATCCTCTAGAAAATTTTGAAATCCACCGGAATATTCAGAATTTTCAGCAGAAAAATCGATAAAAAATAAGCTATTTTTCTGTAGTGACTGAGCTATGTGAAAAAAAAAAGCTAATAGATAGTATGTTTTGGCCCATGCAGGGAGTTTTCACAGGCAAATGCGGCACAGATTTGGATCATGGAGTTGCCATCGTAGGATACGGAACAGCACAGAAAGGAACAAAGTACTGGATTGTGAGGAACTCATGGGGTCCCGAGTGGGGGGAGAAAGGCTATATAAGGATGCTTCGCGGCTCCTCAGATCCGCAGGGTTTGTGTGGCCTGGCAATGGAGGCTTCGTATCCAATCAAGTCTTCTCCCAATCCTACCCACAAGCCTAAGGATGAACTGTAAGCATTGCTGCGTGCGCTATGTGGAAGGAAAATAAAGGAGCAATTTTTGCTTATGAAACTGTAGTGCTTTTGTTAGTCTGATCTCAGATATGTTCTCTTTGCTTGATGTATTTTGTATTACAAATGCTTCGATTGGCGCACTGCTTTCTATTTAGAATTAATGAACACATTTCCAGTTTGATTATCGGTTCTGTATTTTCTGTTGTTGAAAATTATATTAGGGGTGTCAAATTCGGATTTTGGCTCGTGTTCGGGTCGAACTCAGAATTGACTCAGGTTCAAATGGATTGACTCGAACTCCACCCGGTTTTGTAAATGGGTCGAAAATACGAACACGATGGGTTACTGGGTTGACTCGACCTAACACGACAACCGTGACCGCTTCGGCGAGGCAAGGCAGTGCTGGCCAGACTGGTGCTAGTGGACGCGACGCCGGGCAGGCGCGGTCAGCGCGGGTCAATCAGGGTCATTCTCTTGTTTCCGGGTCAACACGAACCCGACTATATTTTTAAAACGGATCAATTTGTTGAACCCGAACCCGACCTCTCTAAAACAGGTTGACCATAATCTAAAATTTTAGTGTCGGATTTTCGGGTTGTGTCAAATATTAGCACCCCTAAACCCTATATTTATAAATTAGGATTAAGACGTGAACATTATAAAATTAGTCACATACATAATAATACAATCAATAAGTATGGCACCTAATTATATAGTCCAACTAGATAAAGAAGTCATCCCTCTTCAAATAATGCCCGTTGACCGTAATGAATTCTTTGTATTATTGTCGTCAGCTATAGATGAGTTCTCTTTTAAGCCAATGAGTATGAAATAAAGGGTTCGTTAGGGACTATTTTTTTTATTACTTTCTAAAACGAAGTTTTAATATAATTTTTTTTTATTTTTGTACTAAAACTCTATTTTAGAAAGCAATAAAAAAACCGTCCCAAACGAAGCCAAAATATTTGAACCAAATTAATGGCCATGAACCAAATTAATTTAATTTGAACCACATTTTTATAGATATTCGAATATATATTTGTAGAATATTTAAATCCTCAAGTCTCATGTGAAAGCAAATAAATTGTAATTGAAGCGTGTCTTTTGGTACTTCTTCCCAAGGGATGATATTATAAATCCTAAATAACTTGAAAGAACAGTAACCGCTTATGTTTCTTCAAGCAGTCAGCTTCTGTTAGTGTTCCTCGTGGCTTGTCAGTGATGCGCCACGTGGACCTTGATTTATTCATGAATCTTGCATTGGTTCGCAATCCTAAGTTTTGAATAGTACTTAGTTGTGAAGCAGAACAGTTTCAAAAAGAAATACTGTGGCAGCGGCTTCGTATTTGGCCTAAACGGGTCTAGTGGCTTAAAAATTGCATGATTTATATAATAATTAAGTCGAATACATCGGGTTCAAGTTAGGTGGTTCGGGTCGAGTTGGTTTGAGTTAAATATTTTGACGTGTATGATATGATGAACAGGTCGCATTTAGGATATACATATTCGTTTTGAATCAATTTTGAATAAAATGAACTCGACCCGCCAATCAGAATTAACGCCCTACCTTAATAAACATATATTTTTGTCTTACAAAATTATCACATTGTATGGATCATCTATTAAATTGAAAAATAAATGAGACCTTCAAAGACTTCCTTTAATCTTACTGGCCATTTGGAAAAGCTTGAGTGAATTTATTTGATGGCTCAAACGAGTAACTCTTGCATCTCAATCAAATATTTAGGTTTCATATAAATAGTGGTGTCAATAAATGATTTGATGCAGACATGATTTGAAATATTCGGGTTCAGATTGACTTATTTAAGAAATGAGTAAGGTTCATGGCCATAATTCCAACCTATTTAATTAGCGGGTCGGATTCAGGTTGATCCACAAATTCAATTTTGACTTAAAAGTGACTTATTTAATCTTATTTATTAATTTCTTTTGACTGTTGGAATTTGGCATACTCTTCTTATTTTTTGATAAATCAATATGAACTCTATAATTAACAATGTATAATTTTGAAAAATAAAAAAAGTTATCAGGTTTCGTTCGAGCCATTGAAGTTACCAGCAAGTTGGATTCAGTCATATGTTTTTTACCTATTTATTAAATATGATATGTTTGGATTGAGTGGATTCAAATTTGGTCATATTCAAACCTGGCCTATTAATATATTTTGAGAACCCTAAAATAAGCTAACTGAATAGCTTTGCGAATATGACCAATTAATTCGAACCTGACATTGTATATTATAATAAATTCTAGGATAATATGATTTTGATGTCTTATCTTTTCTTTTTTCTCATGCTTTGGTCGGTGCTCTGCTAGGGTTTCTCCCTAGCCGTCTTCCGCTGGTCTATTTGTTCCTTCCTGGCGACGGTTGCGCACGTACACTTGTCCCCGCTCACAAGAAAGTGCTCTCTCTTTGTGCATATGTAGTTCTTTTCTTTTGGGTTCTTTTTTCACTTGATCTTGCAGCATTCGCCTTCGCAGATGGCGGCTAATCAAGTGAAATTGTTTGATCTTGATTTTTTTGGATGGAAATCATATTCCAAAGTCTTTTCTTGATGCTTTTTCGGCTCTTAAAGTCTCCACTTTTTATGGTTTGCCTTTGTTATGAATTTCTGACAAGGAGATGTTGACACTTGCTGCTCCCTTCACCTTTTTGTTAGTCAGCAACTTTCTTAATCATCGCCCACCGCTAGAGGTTATCTGAAAATTCTTTTTTAATCTTAAACTTTCCAGTGAGTTTTTTGTTACTTTGCTTGATGCTAAGCATATGCTAATCAAACTAATCAACGATATGGATTATTGTCGATTTTTCACTCATCGTTCATATTTTATGAATAATTATTTCATGAAATTAACGAAATGGTCGACGAAATTTGATATTGGCGAAAAATCTCCCGTTATCCCTATATTGATTTTGTTTCCTAATCTTAGTCTGCATATTTTTTCTCTTCGTATCTTGCATGGCCTTTGCTTTATTTTTAGTTGGCTCTTGCGATGTCACACTACAAGTTCAAATGGCTCTCATCCTTCAATTTCCCATGTGCTTGTTGAACTCGACATTTCAAAAAAATATATTCATGCTGTGTGGATTGGTCCAAAGAAATTTGGTTTCGTCAAAAAAAAAAAAAATTATGGAAGGCTTTCATTCTTTTTGTGATCATTGCAAGTCTTTAGGAAATTTTAGAAAAGGATGTCATTATCTGCATCTGCATTTAGCTAAGGAACCCTTTTCCTTCTCTTAAGCCTGTCCCTATTGTTGGTGTGTACGGATCTAGCTCCTACACCTATGGTTGCTTCTATAGTGGAAAATGTGGTGGATGTTATGCATAAAAATGTGGAGAAGGCTCACGGTTCTTTCCCTCGGGGTGAAATTTTGTTGGATGATGATTTTGCAAGGTAGAGGGTTCTGTCCCTGACATTGCTCACACCCCTATGGCTGTTTCTTCTCTTGTGGATGACCATGATTGATGAACAATGTGAATTTAGAGAAGGTGTTGAAGTTGATTTGGGGACTCATACTTTTGATTTAAATTTGGGTTATGAGGATGATATTAAATTATTAATAATCATAATTTTTCTAAGGGGGGTGTTGAATAATTGGGAAGTGTCTTTTGTTGATGTTCCTATTTCTATTATCTCTAATGATGCCTTTGGAGCTCAATTGAGCCTATCTTTGAAGGATTCTTGTGTGGATCATTATGGTTGGCTTCATGAGTTCATTTCCTTGTAATGTGAGGGTGTTGGGGAGGACTTTGATAAGTACAATAAGATGTTTATTTGAATATTGGTCTTATAGGTCAAAAAGCTTTTTCCATTGGGGGTGACAAACGTCATAGGCGAAAATATAAAAGGAAGTAATCTGAGGGATTTTGTTCATCTCTGCTGGTGTTGGTCCTTCCCCTGGTTGGTTCCTTAGCTTTATGTTGGTGTGGTTGCTCAGTCGGGGGTCCTTGTACATTTGTTTAGTTTTCCTCTTGGGTGTTGTTCTTTAGGTTGGGTGCTTTTTGGGTGTGAGGCTCGGCTATGTTGCTTGTCGGTTGTGGTGTTTGGGTTTGGTTTTGGCTGAGGTGTTTAGTTGCTTGATTGGTTGTATTTTTGTTGGTTGGCTTGTTGCTTCTTGCTTCTTTTGTGTCTTTCTCTGCATGTTATTGCCGCATGAAGCTCCTGTGTTCTTCTTCTATAGGGCTTAGGGTTTGGTTGTCATTTTTTGCTGTGAGTTGTGCCTTTGGCTTTGTTTGTTTAGCTTTCTCTTCTTGCAGTTTTACTTGATGATCCTGTTGTTTGGTCTGTTGCTCTCTAGCTTGCTTGGGTGAATGCTTTGGTTCATGTTCTAGTTGGCTTTTGCGTCTTCTGTAGGGCCTCTTCTTGGTTTACTCTTCTTTTCTTTTGTTTAGCTATTATACTATATTAAGTCAAATGGCTTGTAATCCTCTTATTATTAACGTGTAAGCTCTTATAAGTGAGTTTTATAAAAAAAAAGATAATATATGATATTTAATAAAAATTTATAGGAAGCATAAATCAATACAACCTAACAACTACATTTTTAATATGTTAATCTTCAACTAAAAAAAAAAAAAAAAAAATTGTAAGCACAAAGCAAATACCATTTCAAACCAAACTTTGAGCTAAACTCCCAATATTTTTTGTTATCTTTCCAAATCATTGCAGTTAATTAGTACTATGCGTGCACGATTTACAAACTCTTCAACTACTTAAAACAATTCTTGATTTCTCTCAGCTACTTCAGTTGTTGCTATACTCCATAATTTTTATGCCATAAAGTCAGAAGCCATTAATTAAGAGCAAAGAGATTTATTATTAATCCTTCAACTCAATTTTGTTTTGGAGTTTTCTATGAAATTGTAGCGTTTTCAGTGGACATTATCATATTTTTAAAATAACATATCTTATATGCCATTTTGTATGTCAACTTTTTCTTTCATTTTTTTTTTAACTTTATTTTAGCTATGTTTGGACACTTTTAAAGTACATAAATGCTAAGACTTCTAAAAGTTCAGATAATTTGGGATCATCTGAACTATGTTTTCGGTGAACTTATACTCAATTTGAACATCTCAGTGAAACCAACATAGAATTTTCTTTTTATTAAATTTTAGATAATTTGAACTATGATTTCGGTGGTCTTCGATTTAATTTTTGAAATTTCTAACTTGATTTTGCCTTGAGATTCATGCCCAGTCAAGATAATTTTTTCATGATATATCACTTTACATAAATATAATTCTTATATTTATGTTAATGGGATGTGCATTAGATGAAGATGCATTATGTTTTGTAATGATGTTATTAAATTGTCTTAAGAGATAATTATTGGGCCTAGGCCCATGTATTTAAAACTAATGTTGAGGCTCATCAAAGCAACCAAGAAGGCGCGCGTTGCAAATGATAGAAGAGAGATTGAAAATTAAACTAGAACAAGCGATTGAAAACTAAAAAAAAAAAATACATTACAATAATTAAAAAGATTTTTTTTTTTATTTGGTTGTATTTTGAATGTTGAAGAAAGAATGAGTGCGTGAAAACCTTACAAATGATTTACGAGGTTGGCTCTTCAAATACTTGTGTTTGATTTTGCTTTGAAAATTCAGATTTTACAGGTTTAGAGATGGTGGCTTTTAGAGATTTTCAATGGAGTTCTTAATGGTCTAATGGTCTTAGAAAAAGCCAATTAACTACCCTCGTAGTAGCTTTAACATTTTTCTAATGACAATTAAAAAAATAATTAAGTTTTTTTGTTAAGATCGTATTAGTCAGTAGATAGCTAATTATAATTTGTGGTTATGTGCTAAAAAGTTTGACATATTAGAGACAAGTAAAATGCTTTTTTGTTACTATGATAGGTCATCCAACAACCTTCGGCATTCCTCATCAATCCATGTCCGACATAAAGTAAAGATTGAAGTTCTTAGAAATTTAGGACTTCCCTTCCCTCTCTCCCTCCTCTCCCAATTAAGAAGCTCAAGAAGGAAGTGCTTCTTCCTGTCATTGAAGATCCTAACATTGCTTGACTTCTGTTACATTGGCCATGATCAGAAACAAATTTTTTTTTTCTATCTCATATGATCCATGTTTACTTGAGAAATGGGCTGCATCATGTTTACTTGAGATTAGAAATTAACTATCATTTTTGACAGTTTGTGGCTTGTTTGTATGATCTTCTTTAAATTGAATTAGTAATAGATAAAAAAATCAATCTTCATCTCTCGCATCAAATATTTCTTAAGATCACATATTCCTGAAAGAATAATTCATGATGATGATTCACGAGGGCATATTCTGAATGTTACTCGTTGAATCTGAAAGGATAATTCATGATGTTGAGTAGATGCATTTTGTTTATGTATTTGGAATTCTTTCTTTTAAATATTAGACTGTTAATGTTAGGTACAATACTTACTGAGTGAGCTAGAAGTTTCAGTTAGTTCTGTCATGGACGGTTTTATATTTGAAAGTTATATAGATAGAGCTAAGTTTTAATGAAAGTGAGATATTAAATGATTGTTCTGGGATCGATGCTTTTTTCAATCGGCCAGTACTGAATGCAAACCAGTATCACACAAGCTCGAAAACATATATTAATACATCACATTGAGAGGAAAGAACAAGAAATGGAAGAAAGACAACAGAGTAGAGAGAAGAGGAAAGATAGAAAACTGAATTGTATTTCACTTAACTTACGAACAGTACAGCGGTACACATATATATATAATACAATGGTTGTGAAGTAAATAAGTACAGATTGAGTATTAAGGCTAAAAGACTAACGGCTTTGCTAATATCCTCCCGCAAATTAAGCATTCTGTGGTTGAATGTTTAATTTGGTTCTTAGTTCATTAAACCGAGTTATGGAAAACGGTTTGGTTAGGATATCCGCTATTTGATCATTAGAAGCAATGTGAATAAGCTGAATTGCCTTGGATTCGATATGCTGTCGTATGAAGTGGTAGTCAATCTCTATGTGTTTGGTCCGTGCATGAAACACCGGATTTTTAGCAATGGCTATTGCCGAGGTGTTGTCGCAGTAAATTGGAGTTGGTGCGAGCTGTGGGATGTGTAATTCTTCAGCGAGACGACGAAGCCATAAGACGTCTGATGTTGCGGCAGAGAGAGCCCGGTATTCGGCTTCGGTGGACGATTTTGCTACGGTGGCTTGATTCTTGACTGTCCAGGAAATGATAGTTGGGCCGAGAAAGGAACAATAGCCGGAGATAGACTTCCGGTCAGATGAGTCGGATGCCCAATCGGCATCAGTGTAGGTTCGAAGTTCCAACGGTCCATTGTTGATCGGCAGCCCATAGGTGATAGTTCCTTTGATGTAGCGGAGTAACCTTTTGAGTGCTTTGAAGTCCTTGTCCGTTGGTTTTTGCATGTGCTGGTAGACTGCATTGGTGGCAAAAGCTATATCTGGTCTTGTAATTGATAGATATTGTAGTGAGCCAGCAAGTTGACGGTATAAGGTTGGATCATGGAACGGTGCACTTTCGGTGGGATCCTGTTTGGACGAAGGTGTGACAGGCGTGGTGGCTGGGTTGCAGTCGGCGTATCCTGCATCGTGTAAAAGTTTTGTAGCATAGTGCTGTTGTGATAAAAAGAAGCCGTTTGTGGATTGAAGTACCTGTATGCCCAAAAAGAGTGAGATTTGTCCAAGTTGCTTGAGTGCGAATTGCGCTTGAAGCTGATGGAGGAGTTGTTTGATAGCCGTGTCATTATTACCTGTGACAAGAAAATCATCGACGTAGATTAAAAAATAAATTTGAATGTTGTCTTTGTTAAAAATTAAAAGAGAGGGGTCGGAACGACTAAACCGGAATCCGTGTGTCTGGAGAAAGGACGTTAGCTTATTGAACCATTGTCTGGGAGCTTGCTTGAGCCCGTAGAGTGATTTCTGTAATTTACAGACTGCATCTGGCTGAGTCTGGTCGGTGAAGCCTGGTGGCTGCCGCATGTAGATGTCGTCGGGTAGATCACCGTGTAGAAAAGCATTGGAGACATCCAATTGGTGCATTGGCCACTGACGGTTGACTGCTAGAGCGAGGAGAAGTTGAATTGTTGGCATTTTTGCGACCGGACTGAAGGTTTCGTTTTAATTAATTCCGAATTGTTGATTGTAGCCTAGAGCGACAAGCCGAGCTTTGTATCGATCGACTTGGCCGTTAGGAAATAACTTGGTCCGGTAAGTCCATTTGCAGCCCAAGACAGGTTTGTTCGCTGGTTTAGGAACCAGAGTCCAGGTGTTTTGTGTTTGCAGAGCCTTGTATTCGTCTGACATTGCCCGGGTCCAGTGAGCAGATTTGGACGCTTGGTTATACGTGGTTGGTGTCACAGGTGTAGAGGTATGAGCGAGTAGATTAAGAATTTGTTTTGGCTTGGAAATGCCAGACTTTAGTCTGGTTTGCATGTGATGAGTTTGATTGGCCGGTTGTGTGAGTTGGTGAGACGGATGAGACTATAGGTGATCGGTTACAAGTGGAGGTTGGTGTGTTTAAGTATTGTTGAGCAACAGGAACCCGAGAAGGAGGTTTGGAGTGAGTGGAGATGGATGTGTTGGTAGCTGGTGGTAGAAGTAAAGGTGCGTGAGCGGGAGGCTGAGGTTGTATGGGTGAGATAGGTGAAGGTTTGCTGTTCTTGTAGGGGAAAGAATTTTCGCAAAAGACCACATGCCGAGATGTGTAAATCCGGTCATTCTTGATGTCGTAACACTTGTACCCTTTGTGGTTGGGAGAGTAACCGAGAAAGATACATTCTGCGGAGCGAGGTAAGAACTTGTTTGCAGCGTAAGGTTTGAGCCACGGGAAGCAGAGACAACCAAAACTTCGAAGGTGACCGTAGGTAGGAGATTTCCCCTGCAAGCATTGTAGAGGGATTTGAAGATTAATAGCTTTTGAAGGTAAGATATTCACCAGGTAATTTGCGGTGGACAGAGCATCCGCCCAAAATTTGTGCGGAACATTTGATGCGTGTAGGAGAGCCCGTGTGATTTCCAGGAGGTGGCGATGTTTGCGTTCCGCTAGTCCGTTTTGCTCTGGCGTATGGGGGCATGAGAGTTGTTGCTGAATGCCATGTTCTTGAAGAAATAATTTGAACATGGTACTGGTGAATTCCCCGCCTCCATCAGATCGCAGAGCCTTAGGTGTCCTATTAAATTTAGTTTTAATGAGAGAACAATAAGATTTAAATTTGTTAAGAGCCTCATTTTTGGTGTGCATAAGATAGAGCCATGAATATCGAGTGTGATCATCTATAAAAATTATATAATAACGATAACCATCAGATGATAACTGCGGAGCTGGACCCCAGACATCCGTATGAATTAGCTCAAACGGTTTGCTACTGACAGAATCAGTTTTATTAAAACTCAATTTGTGGCTCTTGGCCAAATTACAAGAGATACAAGCTAAGGAATGAGGAACAATCTGAATTTCAGAGAATTGTTTTGCAAGAATAGAGAGAATATTGGAGTTCGGGTGTCCGAGGCGAGAATGCCAGAGAGTATTCGTCGTAGTTGTTGCTGCCAATGCTTGGTGATCGGCTGCCCTGGGATGTTGTATCTTGTACAGGCCATTAAGAAGACGACCATGAAGAAGTGGACGCCGGTCCTGTAAATCCTTAATAACGAACCCATTAGCATCAAAGGAGATCGAAATGGAATTATCTTTAGTTAATTTTGAGACCGAGACCAGGTTGTGCGTGAGAGCGGGGACATGAAGGAGATTATGTAGAAATAGCTTACGAGCATTGTCGGGTAGGGGAAGAAGTCCTTGACCGGAGTTTTGGATCGGCAGCGACGTACCGTTTGCAGTAGATACTGAGTCCGCTCCAGTGTAAGCCGAGGGATAGAAGAGATTGTTTGCGTCAAGAGTGAGATGGGTGGAAGCGCCGGAATCAAGAACCCAATCTTGATTTTGGATGACAGTCGGGTTGGCTAGAAGAGCTTTCGGTTGACGAGAATCCGTTGGAGCGTATTTGAAATTGCATCTATGCCAACAATTGATGGCGATGTGACCGAGTTTGCCGCAAATTTGGCAAGTCGGCCGAGTAGAATTTGGCACGGTGACGGGAGTAGCTGATTGAGGCAGTTGAGATGAATTCTGCACAATCTTGTTCTTGAAGAATTTCTTGCTGGGGCGACCGCGAGATTGGTTGTTCTGAGCCGCGTACAGGGCTGTTGGAGACGCGGTTTGAGCGAGATCGAGCTGCTGTTCTTGCTGTAAATGGATTTCTTCGTTGCAAAGAAGCGAGTAGAATGTGTCAAGATCTATAGGTGACAAGGAATTGCGTATGGTTGATTTGAATGAGTTGAACGTTGGAGGTAATCCATTCAGGATATGAAGAATGACATCTTCCGATTCAACTTTGGAGCCGGACGCAGAAATGTTGTCGACGATAGATTTGATCCGGTTCAAGTATTGCTGGAGAGATTGGTCTTTCATCGTGATCCGATAGAGTTCATTCTTGAGTTGCATCACTCGAGAACGACTGGTCGGTTGAAGACGCCGTTCAAGAACAGTCCAGGCGTCGTTGGTGGTGGCGGAGTTAATGATGTAAGGAAGAATCGATTGAGAAATTGTCGAAAATAGTGCAGAGAGAAGGTTGCTGTCGGCGGTCTTCCAGCGTATGTATGCATCGGAGTTGATGTCACTGGGAGCCTGGAGCGTTCCGGTGAGATGGCCGGAATAGCCATTTGCTGCAAATTGTTGGAGAATTTGCATACGCCAAATCGGATAGTTGTCAGTCGTGAGATGATGAGGCGCTAAATTCTTGATATTGGATACAAGAAATTTAAGCGGTTGAGGTATAGTGATTGAATCAGCTGAAATTTCCGGTAGAGTGGTGGTGGAGGAGGAGGTCGGAGGAACGGTGCTTAGCATAATTAACATATTTGTAATTACTGAACTTAACCGTTATGCCCTTTACTCTGTTATTAATACCTTCCTCTGTATCATGTTTACTCAAAACTACAGATTATCCTTTCCGTCTTTCTCATCTTTCGCTCTCTGTGCGATTACTTCTCACAGCAATATACTCATCACCCATTTGGTATCTAAAAAGATGCCATGATGGAAGATAAGATTTTGATTTTATTACATTCTTCCTCCTCCTCCTACCTCCTCCACGCACGTTCATGCCGGCAACAACACCACTCCTCTTCATACTCCCATCTAATCAAGTTATCTTTGTTTCCAACCTCAAGAACTTAGGGAACTTGCGGGACAACCTATTCTAAAAAACTGAACACAAGGCTCACATAACTTCTAGTATTTGTCAATTCATTCACATCAAAACATAATCTAATGCTAGCTCTGCTCCTATAAAAAATAATTATCAATTTAGATTGCTCATATGGTGGCCAACCTTTGACATTCCTTTCCAGTCGTGCAACAATATCCCACTATTCAGAGCTTCAAAACACAGAAAGCATATTTACGAAACCAGGGCAATACCTATGAAGTTTCGACCGCCACATGTAAAGGAACTCTAAAAAATATACTAATCAATATAGTCATCTATGTACTTAGGATAGGAGATGATAATAAAACAAATGCATATCATTATATCACCACTGTGTTCCTTCCTCATTATTCTCTCTTCTTTACAGCGACGTACTCTAGTATCTCACATAGGTAGTCAGAGCGACGGTACGATTCGGTTTCCAGACACGGACGTCTTCCATGGCCGACTGAAGCGTTCCTACTTCATGCGTCTTTGCACTTGCTATAACAACCGAAGGAACACACAGCGAATAAAGGAATTTGTCTTCTACCAGCTCACGAAGACCACTCAAGTTCATTCATACCTCTAACCTGAAATCCGTCGTTCCTCATCCCTAACTCGGATAACTATCAACTGTGTTATGAGCGGAATATCAAATCTAAATGTTTAAAAGCCAACGGTTCTTAACAAAATTTCTTGATCACCTACAGCCGCAAAATCCTCTCCGCGATCAAGCGAAACTTTGATTCTTTTGAATCTTCAACAGGAGTTTAATACAAAGATAATTTAACCGAGGCCATATTTAGTTCCAACGATATCCTGCTCCGTTGTTAATTTCCTGAGTTTTTGTAATGGCATCTTCGACATCACTACGAAATCTGGGTCAGCCTCTAAATTCTTCTCCATCTCGAGATATCATCAATCCTTATTAAAACAGTCTGCTAACACAAAGTTATCCAACTTGAAGTGAGTTAACACACGAACAATGTGGTTCGTCATGCGAAATCTGTCTATTGGTCAGAGATACCTGACTGACCTCGCAGAGAGAAATTCATTTCGATCAGATCACCTTCCGCCGTTTCTACCCTCTGGACACTAGAAGACACATCATTATCCTACATCCTGAACGGGCTCTAGCTTGCCCCTGCCGTATCAGTCGATCAAAAGATCCCGTTACCGGACTTGCAATCACTCTCACTCTTGACAAATATTCATACGCGATGCTCATCACCAAGAGGAAACTTTCACTTACGGAAGCAGCACATCACCTGCCATCTCTGCTCAGCCAGAACAGAACTCCCACAACTACTGCTGCTTACACCAAAATCGCGGCAACGAGGACGCAGTGGAGCGTGTCGGTAGGCAAACAACCGAGCCAAATAAATACAGATCAAGAACTCATTTTCAAATCGACTGATAAGCTTGCAAATCGCACAGCGTGGACATCGGCGAGTGTTTGCATAAAGAACACAATAGACCAATTACATAACAAACCACCAACAAAACTATTTACACACCGGTCCAAGCCGCTTCTCGCCTCCTCTCCGACGATACTTAATCCACAATCGAGATTGGTAATCTGGAACTCCTCAGGCGCTTATCAACACTGAACCTAGCGGTTGCATAATACTTTAGTCACTTGACATCAACCGGAATCTCAGCAGGCTACCGATTCAATTAAGACTGTTGCTGGGACGGGACATATCTATATCCCATAGCACACTACCGGGCTTAACCGAGAGGGCTGCTCTACCCCGATCGTATGTTATCCCTTTCGATCTTTACATATACCGCTATTTCAATACAATTTAATTCTATATCAAACTCGTAAAGGACAACATCTGTCCATACGTTTGTCCTAATGGTTTACTTGTAAGGATCTTGCAGACACACCAAATCCCTTCTTCAAGGACGTTGTAAGGCGGGCCTCTATCCCGATCTTCCATCAAGAACCCCGGCACAGCTCACCAAGACGAATTATCATCGGCCTCCGCATCCCTGCTCCAAATTTGCAGATGAAGATTGGGGTCACCCTCATGCGAAAGATAATTCCAAAAGAATCTTCACACGACAATCAGCAACTTTCGCATCAGCTTCAGCACTCTAAATTGTAGTTCTTGTACATTCGTAGAGTAAAAGTATAAGCTCTGTCTTTCCGATTTACGCTTCAAAGACTACTACCCCTCCTTTTACTTCTCCTCTGATAGTTTGGGTTCTCCCCACTCCTCCATCAGGGGCTTCGATATTACCTTCTATAGTAGATTCGATTTTCTGCCGTTTCAGCTGGATTTTCCCGTGTAAGCGAATCTGATGTTGCTAAAAATTTATTAACTTTGTGGATTTTTATTGAAGACAACTAACAGGCACTAACAATATTCGCACTGACGGAAGGCTCTGAGAAGTTTCGTTAACACGAGTTCGACGGCTTCTTCAACAAAAGAGGAATTCACAATCAAGCTCTCTTGTTTCCATCATACCCCCGAGAAAAATCAGTCTTGCGGAACTGCAGGGCCCCGTCATATATTGAAAACCGCTAGGACAATGCTGCCACCGCCTCCATGCCCATCAATTTCCTGGCTTGAGCAGCGACAACTGCCGTCTACTAATTAACCCGCATGCTCACCTAACCACTGGTCACACCGCTCCAATTCACTCCCATGTTTCAAATCAAACCTGACTACCGCCCAAACTCGCACCTAGGCTGCGAGTGCTTCCGCTATTGCCCAACCACTCTTAATAAATTACAGCCAAATCTGAAGCTTGCACAATTCCTTGGTTCGCAGATATAATCATAAGGATAGTTGCTGGAAAATCGACAACTCGATTATATCTCTAGACATGTGAAGTTCGTCGAATTCTTTCCATTCCAAGACCAGAAAAATCCGTACGCAGCATGCTTTCATAATCTTCACATGCTATATACTCAATTTAACCACTGCTTCTTCGCTACAAACCATTGCAAAGCACCAACAAAATATCTAGTCATATACACAATATCAATGAATTACTCACATCACCATCATGCACACACCCGACATGAAAGCTAATGACGCGAACGTCAGCATCTGCTTCAGCATCTACTTCTTCGCCTTTCATTTAAATTCCCGCAATTCACATTGCCCATGACACACCACACGGTCTCAAACCGGTCACCTAGACCTGTTAGCTCCGCTCAATTACATTATCATCCTAGGGTCTTACAACTCATTGATAAGCCCCGACGCACTCTAACGCTGAGGCAACACAATATCTTTTCCGATATTGTTGGGTGCTGTCAAGCCATCGCGCTGAGTTCTTCGCGCTATCAACAAGTAGTAAACACAGGCAATGGACATTGGTTCCAACCTCCACCCAACATCCCTGTTCTCGCTGCAAATGATATTCCGCGAAAGTTCAACTCAGGATGGTTCGGTGCCTCGATAAGGCTCGCTGGCTTCACTCGGAATCTAACAGAACTACGGCTAGACCACGTAGAGAACTTTTCAGTCCAGGCTCAGCCAAAACTACCTCATCCATCTTCGCGTCCGGTCTTCCACGTATCGCACTTCAGATACATGGATGAGAATAAGTCTCATGCATAACTCGAGCATGCGAGAGAATGGCATTTCTCCATCGATTCTTGACGATACCCGTCTACAGCGGCAACCCCAAGGGGTTCGAAGATTCTCTTCACCCTACATCAACCGTTTGTCGTTCTAAATAAAGCACTTACCGGTCATCCGTCAGGCACTCCGAGGCAGTGGTATACTACGTTCACCAACTATCTCACCAAGCTCGGATTGTAATCACAGCAAATCGCGACCCATCACTGCTCAACACTTCCATAAAGGCAGTCATCGTCTCCTTCCTATATAGTCTACGTTGACGACATCTTAGTTACTGGCAATGAACGAATTAGGCCTTTCTTCTCCGACATTCTCAAGCTTCACTCAGCGTTCTCTCTCACAAAACTCGGCATGCCAACCACTCTCCTCCAGATTCATATGCTGTGAACATCATGAGGTATGCACATTCAGGAAGAGGTATTCTAGAAGCTGCATCAACAGATGTGAAGGGATCCGCGCGCTTCTACAGAAGAGTAGTCCAATACTTCTCTGCATGATGGTGCCTTCGTGTGAAAAGCCATTCCTGCAAACTATCAAAAGTTAGACCTGGGAACGCCAAACAAGTTTGGATTTTCCTTTTCGGCAAATTTATAAAAAAAAGAAATAGCATATATGATTATGTCCTAATGGAGATAGATGCAATGCTTAGGTTTCCAGCGTTCAAGGATATAGTTTTATCTTAGCAAACAGTGCCGATAAGGAGTAGGCTACTTCCAGCTCGCGTGCGAGAGACGGCGAGCAGTTCCGAAGTGAGATGATAATTCAAGACCTCGATGCGCATACCGCTATTGCGGCAAATGTAGATTCGTGCTCGTTATGTACTAAGTATGTCAATATACTATGAGAGCGTCGTGACCGGTTGCTATAGCTTCATAGCGACCTACATTACTAAAGGACTCACTCACAGCTCGACACTCGTGGCATCAGTCCCTTCTGTTTGAGCATCGCGGCTCAGGGCAATTATGACGATATAGCGCTTTCGATACCTCAACCATCACAGTCAACGGACAGTAGCATACCGCCGTCAACAGCTGATCCCAGCATTGCACGATCCGCACTCGTTCACTTCTTTCATGCTTCAAGCGACGTCATTCCTACTGTCAAAGGCACCGCTCACTTCGGACTGCCCATAAACCAAAATCAGTATTTGCATCTGCTTCGCTACTCCGATGCCGACTGGGAGCGCTCGCAGTTACTCGCAAATCCTACCACAGGGTATTGCTCTTTTCTCGGCAATACTCTGATTTCATGGCTGTCAAAAAGACAGTCTACCGTATCTCGCTCCTCCACGAGTCGAATACAGGGCACTC